TAAGAGGTAATGAAATGGTTTATGATCATGACTTCAGCACAAATGAAAGAAAATACATTCACATAAAAGTATGTAACAATAGAACAATAACTAAATAATGGATACAGATAATGGCAACACATTTACGGTCAATATCCTTAATCGATACCCATATGTGTTCATGACTAGCTACCAAGCACATAAAAATTCCTGTATTACTAGACGGGATGGAATCTTCGAAGTAATTGCGTGAGTCTGTGAAAGGCCTAAATTTCACTAGTCCATTCTCCCCTATATTAGTAACTAAACCAGGCTTTCCGTGTACTACTACTACATTATCTGGCTTAAATGAAGTTATTCTACTATTCTTACACATAATGACTTGTTTATGTGAGTCCTCCTTATCGGTAAGTGGGGTAGTATTAGTCGAAGTGCTCACTTGAAGCCTATCCCAGAAATACATTTTCTCCGCATAACGCTGTGCTGCTTGCTTTGCAACGGCATACCCACTGTGCACTGAATTCTAAATTTGTCTCATATAAGACACGAATGGCAATGCTGAAAAACTAACTAAAGGGCGATGTGCACGAGCATCATCAGGAAGGTGCTGTAACAAATGCACATTATGAAGTTTTCAGACCCATAAAACCATTCATATTCTTTAAGAAAACTCCCTTAATCCATTCTGACATTCTACAACGCTATTATGTCATTTAGCATGTGCAAGCAAATAAACCGGTAACGCTAAACGCTTGAAATTAAGATACAAAGGTTTCGGCAAAGTTTTTTGCAGAATTACGGGGCCTAAATATAAAAGAAAAAACCTACACTCTGAAGCTTTCCATACGGATACGAAGTCTAGTTTACGGCATTTATGCTGAAAGTCGGAGGGAGTACTTGCCACGCAACTAAATATTAAATTATTTATATCCCTAATTACACATGAGTTCATGTTTAATAGTCTTTTGTGTGCAAATTATATCCATAGATTGGCTGATTTTTTGTGACACCCAAGTACACCATGTGCATGGGATCTAATGAGAAAGTTGAGATCATATTAATTGGAAGCGTTTCTAAAATGGAATGGCCTTGACGGTGAATAGATTGAGTCTGACGACAAAAGCTATCGTCATTTCGTAACATATATCCGCCATTTGGAGAAGCCATCTTCCCGTCAAGCCGTCTACCAACTACAATACACCTGTCGCAACCTGCCTTTCCATTGTGATTAACCGTGTATCTAACATCAAAACGAGCAGGTGCATCACATATTACAGCAGACAACTTAACAGCTATGTATTTATTGAACTTAACATTAAGCAGACCCACGTCAGTCATTTCTTTTATTTCAGAAATGGTGTCCGCAGAAATGTCGTTGAATTCTGCCGGCTTAGTATTCCCTCCATAGATTCTTATCATGAACACGTCACTATACCTTGAGGCAACGATCCGTCCTAATACAGGCCATAAATGTTGACTAGAGCTCCTTGAGATAGAAAGTCAATCTATATCAATATACAATTCTAAAGTATCGAAATCACAAATACAACCAAAGTTCAACATATTTTAGCAGACTGTTTTTCAATCCGATATCGTAGTAAACCCCACTGCTGGTGAACTTTGGTTGGACACTTGTGCACGTTTTCAGAACACTTCTAATGCAGCTCGGTAAGTTCGGAACAAAATCTCGGAAATCATTCAGAATCCGATTAGCATCTCTGGTGCTCAGACAGGTTTTTGTCATTAAATTCATCAATATCTTAATGATATGCTCTTTACGATTTACAAACTTCTGAGAGCACAAATTAACATCATGATATCCTATAACAAATATGTTAACGTATTAATTTCATACACGAACCATTATCATCCAGAAGCCTTTCATTGCTGCAGCTTGTGGATGGTGTTATAGTTGAAGGAATCTGATTACAATTATTACCTTTGTTGACTACTATCAGTTCAACATAAGACATAATTGATTGTTTTTCGAAGCGAGAAAAGTAATTTCCATAGACATAAAGAGTTCATCATTTGTGTGTGGGCTGTGATACTGCCCGGGTGCCCAGACCGAAGCAGGTGGTTATCTTAGGGGGCCACACCCCGAGCCTTTAACCTAAAGGTCTAATCCACAAGGCAGTGGAGCATCGTAAGGAGATGCAGTCCCATGGTAGCCGGTGACCAACGATTGGTTCATACGTCATTTGTTCCCGCAGGATACCGGAGCCCATGTGCACCCTTGGTTTGGAATCCGGTTAAAGCGCCGGACATTCGCTTTTCGTCCTCTCATTTTCGTAAACAACATCCCCGCGACGAGAAGGCAGTGAGTAGGACTTCCCTGGCAGAGGCTGTATACGCGTGGCCGTGTGAGAGTATTTCGAGAGGGAGAGCGGACTCTCCCCACTCTCGGCCGTACCAGGGCATTCGGGGGGCTAAAGTAGCTAGATTACAGGCGCACGCCACCACGCCCAGATCAATTCAACATAAACCACTGTTAAAGTCAGTTATCTTTGATTGTGCTTTCATTAGCAAACTTACTAAACCAAAACAAGTTTTGTTTTATCATGACAGCTGTTCCCCTTTTCTCGCCTTTATTTCCCTTTTATTGGTTGATCGGGATGGAGTGAAATGCGAACAGTTTTCATGATAAAACATAAGTTGAGTCAATTTTCCAATTTTAGATCGAGGCTGAAAAGTTGGTCGTCTTCATATCTGCCCTTTATATATTAGAACGAGCCTGTTCAACTGCTTGATACAGTAGAAGCCGTGGACGTGAATAAAATGACCGTATGATCTCTCCTCCTTGTAGGTGATAAGAACATTATTTGACTAGCCTCATCAATTTGTGTGAAGACTAATTCTAAGACAAACGAGTAGTTTGTTGGATCATATGTGGTTGGATCTTTAATGTGTCGGAATAAATCTAGGGCGATTGCGGTTCCTAACAATTTGCAATAGAACTATGTTTTTGATGACCCTTCTTTTAGGTTTCCCCACTTTATAGAAGGTACATTAAAGTTATCTACTGTAAAGCTTTTAAACCTGTTTGGTCAGGATTTAAGTTTATTTAGGAAGAAGTCATCCACTACATATTCTGAACTGCGGTGTATTAGAACTAATTCAATGTCTCGTCCTTTGCAGTTCAGCTGGCGGCACGCCAGTTCACATGTCCCTGAGTCGTTTACCATCGTCTCGACATCTTGTATGGTTAAGGTGCTTTTCATGTGCACGATAACCCCACCACCCTTACGGTCCTACAATGTAAGAAACCAAGCAATCGAATCTCGCTATCATACACTTCTGACGGTAACCACGTTTCTGAGCTCCGCCATTTTATTTAGTAGGCTGCCAGCATTAGTATAACAAACCTTTAATTATGTGAAATACTTTCCTTCACCACCCAGAGTGGTTCGGGTATCGTTTTGCTCCGAACTTTTACATTGTGAAAACCTTTAAGTACAAGGTATTCTCATCGTTCCGTCGGTGCTCATTTATTTCTGCCTCTGCCCGATCGTCTCTGCATACGATCAGACAAACTGAGATCGAAACGGGCGCATGTTCCTTATTCGGTCTGTTTGCGCAAATTTTTAAGTATAAAGGTTTTTCTTCCCTGAAAACAAAAGTAAATCTTGATACGCGACCTGCCTATGTACTTTCGGAAGTCGCTTTTTGTCTCATTTTTTAAAGTTTCTGAATGCTAACACCTACTACTGTTTCCAGGAGTAGCTTGGTTATTAAGGACCTAATATGACTCAAGTCATATTCGATCTTTTCTTTTCCAGAAGAATGATCTCTTGGCTTTGCCTGGCTAGTCAAACAGAATTATTACCCACCGCTTAATTTTCCAGCCGAGCATATAGATCTACGCCTGGTTTTAGAGTTGCATTATAATATTGGGATTCAATATAGGAGCTACTAGACTGATTTTTATTATTGTTTTTTTGAACACATAAATATTGGTACAAGAGGGCACCATATATATATGCGCCACACAAAACAATGAGAATGGGAAGAGAAACAAGAAAGTAAGGAAAAAAGAGCAATAAAGACTACAAATTAGTGTGAGATAGTGTATTAATAATAATAATAATAATAATAATAATAATAATAATAATAATAATAATAATAATAATAATAATAATGGGGGAAACGAAAAGGTACAACCAGAAGAAATCGTTCAGTTAAGGAAGAAACAACCATTTTTTAATGAAGAAAGTAAAAGAAGGTTACAGCAGGATCGCCACTGGCTTTTACTCTGAGCCATATCTGATAACGTCTCTAGCCACTGTTACACCATCTCTAGGACCCCAACCAGGGAGTCGTGAAGGACCAACAGAAGCCAGCCCTTTGCAGCTTTCTTTCATACCACGACACCATGTCATACACTAATCACCTATCCGTTTTTTTTCAACCAGTCTCAGCGTCGACAAATAATGCACGACGTGGAATTCTCTGGGAGGACATTCGTAGAACATGTCCAAGCCACCGAAGTCGATGTTTCAAGATGATGACACCAATTGGATTATCTTCTCTTCGCCCGAATACACGATACCGAACCTCTGCATTACTAACATGGTGTTCCCACTGGATGTCAGCAATCTTTCGGAGACAACGATGATCAAACACAGAGAGCCGTCTAACATCCTCAACTCAGAGAGGCCAGATTTCACAAGTATAGAGCAGAACTGCTCTCACCGACGCGTTGTAGATCCGACCTCTCACAGCCAGACTAACATCACGAAGGCGCCAAAGATGGCCCAGATTGGCCTAAGCCGCTCTGGCTTTCAGTATACGTGCATTGATATCATCACTCACGCCACCACCAGCTACCTAGATTGATACATAGTATCAGTCCGTATAATTCATTAACTGGTAAACTGAGGAATGAGTTGTAGACTCTTTTAAGTATTGTAGACTATTATAACGTATGCTTGTAGATGTCACTTGCTGTAGCTTCATAATGTGCCTTCAAATGACCGTTTTTTTAAATTCATTTTAGAGTTTAAAGTAAATAAACAGTCGATATGAGGTGGATCCCTCTAGAAGCTAATCCTCAGGTATTTTTGCGATTATTTGGTAATTCTTTAGGTCCTGAATGAAGTACACACTATTTAAAAGATACATTAAATTTCTAACGTTATAGTATATGAATAAACTTGGAGTTGTCGAAGAGTCATGGAAGTTTATAGACATTTTTAGTTTGGATGATGATATGCTTGCATTTGTACCAGAACCCGTGATAAGCCTATTATTTTTATATCCTCTTGAAACTTCCATTGAAAATGCTTCATTAGGTGTTGAGGATAACTCATCCAATGTTGTTTTGATCAAACAAACGGTCGGTAATGCTTGTGGAACTATTGCTATATTACATGCCATAGTAAATAATAAACAACATTTAAGCATCAAAGGTAAGTCATGACTTTTTTTCGTTCGAAGTGTTTGAGATTTATCATACATTCTGGAGGTGTCAATAAAACTTATAGTTCAAAACGAAATCTCATCTATGAATATGCTAGATTTTTGTAGGCAGAACTGATTTCTGAAAATGGACGTACATAACACCATAAAATACTTTAGTAAATTTTTGATGGACTTTTGTTCTCTTAGCTAAATGGTTTATTCGTGGGGCTTTCATCGTTCTTCTGAATAATATCAGCACACACTTCAGGTAGAAGTGAAGTGTTCGAATCCGAACATAGTGGCCAATATGAAGGTTGCATCACTCACCGATCAATTCTATATTCTGATACAACTTTTAATTAAGATTGTTCAATATTCACTACGTTATCAGCAAAATAGGTTTTCAAATGATGGTCAGTCAGTCAGTAACAACGTAGAACTTCGTACGTACGTACATCAGTTCGAGTTGCCACACCACATTAGCACAGTGATTCAGTTGTCGATTCAAATCCCGTAGTGGTAGAGGTAATAAGAGTATAAACAGTAATCGGGAAAATTAGTGTTTGGAGATGTTATTTAAAGAGTATGATCCAGTGAAATAAATTTGGGAAGAGAAAAGCAAGAAACAAAGAGATCAAAATTTGGGAGAACACAAAGAGTGTATGCACGTGCGCCATTGTAAACGATTTTGAGCCATGTCATTCAGGGTCTTTAACCATCGGTAGCTATCATCTCACGGTCCCCAACCACGTAGTCTACACCTACCAACATGACTCAGTCCACTTGTCGATGACTTCATGGACTTGTGCCATGTTTTGGTTTGGCCACCCCTAGCTTTCTTCCAACCTACTTCTATACCACTGGACATCGCACGTCGAGGCAGTCGGTCGTTGGGCATACGTAACACGTGTCCCAGCCATCTCAACTGATGAAGTTTCACTACTTCATCGATTGATTTGCCATCCTTACCTAGTACCCGTTTCCTAACTACTGCGTTACTTACTCGATGGTCCCAGGATATACGAACAATGTTTCGAAGACACCTATGATCGAATACTAGTAACCTACGAATATCTTCTACTCTTACCGGCCATGTTTCGCTGCCATAAAGTAGGACGGAACAAACTGCTGTGCAGTAAACACGTCCTTTGGTTGATAGACGGATATCTCGCCTACGCCATAAATGACGCAAGTTTGCAAAAGCTAGTCGAGCCTTCTGTATCCGTGCTGAGATTTCGTCACACACCAGACCACAAGGTCTGATGAGACTTCCAAGATAAGTGAAGCGATCGACACGCTCAATTACTTCACTCCCTATCATTGGCTCGGGTGTCAATGCAACCCAATCCTGAAGCAACATTTTGCATTTCGAGGGGGAGAATCGCATCCCGATCATGCTTGCATTGTTGCTTAGAGTGGTCAGAAGACTCTGCATTTTGTCAGCGTCTTCACCAAATAAAACTATGTCATCAGCATATTCCAAGTTCAACCCCTGGAAATTTAGATGAGGAGAGTGTTATCTCTAAAAGTACGTCGACGACAAAGTTGAACAAGAATGGAGAGAGTGGAAAGCCCTGACGAACACCACTTGAGGTAATCAATTCTGATGACAGTTCGCCATAAGCTCTCACTCTACCAGTTGTGTTCGAGTAGAGAGCCTTTATAAGGTTAATGTACTTCTTTGGTACTCCTTTCAGTGACAAACACTGCCATCGAACCTCACGATCAACAGAGTCGAATGCCGCCTTAAGGTCGAGGATTTTCTACAATTGTGGGGCGTTTGAACGTGTGTCTGTGTTCTAGAACCTGACGTAGTGTGAATATGTGGTTTATACAACCACGTCCAGGTCGAAAACCTGCCTGATTTTCTCTAGTCTGCTCTTCACGAGCTTTGATTAGGCGTCGAAGTATTAATGAAGCTAATATTTTAGACACTATATTAGTCAAACTGATTCCTCTGTGATTGTCACAAGAGGACTTTTGTCCTTTCTTATAGACTGGCGTAAATCTAGTCGGTTATTTATTTTGGCATGGTGAGGTCAAATGAATGACGCTACTCGGATCCTGTATGCACGTTTCGGAGACGCAGCATACATCGATGGCGCGAGATTCTAAAGTCCTAGCTAAGGAAGCCTGCTGTCCTATTTGGCAAAGTGTTCGTACCCTTAAAGCTCCTACGTGTAGTTTAGAGCGTGGTTTCAGGAGACCAGGAATAACGTTCCGCGTACACGAATCATTTGCCCTAGCAGTGCGAGGTGATAAAGAGTCGTGAGGAGGGTTAGTCATGGAGATAAGAGAGGTATTAGGAGGTGTAGGAAGGATTTGAATGTGACCAACTTGATCTCGTGTGTTGTTACGGGTATGAGGACTGGTGTCACTTCCCGGCTGCCCACACCGTGGAAGGGTATTTCTTGAGGAACCTGAAAAGGAAATTGGATTAGTGTTGGTCTTAAAGATCTGGGAACGTGACCTCAGAGCCCAAGGGACAACTGCTTGAGGCCGGTCGCGCACGGCCTTTTTGTGGGAGGTTTTTAATGTGTTAGCTCCGTTCTTCAAGGGGCCTTACCGCCGGAGACGGAAATCCGTGAGGTAATGTGAGGTGTGACAATTTTAGGGTCGACCTTTTCTAACCCCACCCCTCCTTGTGGAAGGCAGCATCGCTGCAGATGCTGGTTGTCTGAGAGAAACACCTTACTGCTGTCACACCTCTCTACAGTCAGCAGTACGACTTCGCCCTCAGACCTTGAGTTGCTGCTTTTAGTCTTACCGTTCTCCAATCGACCTGCCTGGCATGGTAGAACCTACAGGAACATATGTTCCAGCCAATATAGCTCGGTTGGGTCATCACGATAGGCAAGCCCGACCACCGCGTCAAGGTAGCAGCTTCGGTGGGGCAAATGATGGTACTAAATGCTTTACTGTTTTTGGCACGTGAAAGTTAGAAAATGCTATCAGACAAAATGTGTCATACAACAGGTTTCTCAGTCCATTTTGTAAAAGTCATATTGTGTACTTTCTACTTTTAACCATCTTATCTGGAGTTTAAATTTTCGATGTTATTTTACCGCATTTTCCACTTCATGTTTTCTTTGTATGTCATCAAGAAATGTAATTAGAATTAAGCTTTGGCTGATTGGTTAATAACAAGCCATTTATTTCACATAAATGGTAGTAATAGTAGATTTTAACTACGCTCTCTAATATAATGTTCCAGATGGTTCCTTTTTGAGCAACATTTTAAAGGAATTCGAAAATAAGACACCTGCTGAACGTGGAGTTATCGTGGAGAGTAAAGTAATTGGATTCATCTTGATTTATTTTCTCTACTAGAAAGAAATTTCCGCGTTGCATGAGAAGTCAGCACTAGAAGGTCAAACAGAAGTTTGTTCATCTATTTGAATTTTATATTTTGCAATCTTTATTTAGGCACCAAACGCTGAGTCAAAAACTAATTTGCACTTTGTATGTTTTGTTGAGCATGACGGATCTCTATATGAACTCGGTATGTTATGCCTATCGTAAACCTCGGAAATTTGATACTCACTGTATTTTAATATTTAGTTGTGATTGATTTAAAAGTAATGAGTAACAAATGTAGTCGATAGATTAAAACATAAAATGAAGTATGGGAACTTAGGTTTAAATTTACCTCAAATGTTATTATATGAAGTAGGATTCAAGGTAATCATAATATTCTAGAAATATCACTTCCTATAGATCACTCAGTCTTAATCTTAGAAACTTTTGTAATTATCGTAATAAATCTAAAACTATGACTCACTGATGTATACATTTGATTTTTAATCATTGAACCATACGTTCGCATATCTCACTTTTTACTTCACTGAGTGGTGTTTTGAGTTCTTATACAAAAATGTGGTTCTACGATTACGGAAATTTGTGTTTTTTCTTATTAAGTTGCTTGCAGGAATTTGCTGAATTGCTTTCTGAATAATCATTCTTTTTTATATGTTTGTTTGTGATAACTTATACGATCCTCACGAATTATGTTAAACAGGTAGTCCATGATTGGTTGGAAAGTTAGTGACCTGCAAACTGATCTTCTCCAATTGACTATAATATTTATCATATTATCTTTTACATAAGCACGTCATTTTGTTACATAATAAATCCATCCTTTTGCCAGTGGTCTTGTTTATGATTTACAATCATCCGTAGGTTTAGGTCAGTAATTTGGTCTCCTGAGAAGCCATCATTCAGCCGCATCGAATCATTGAATGTTATCGGTCGGTCAGTATTTTAATTATTGATTCTAAAAATGGAAAATTCGTTCATCAAACTGTAGATCTCTAATCCATAAAAATAGTATCAACGTGGTTATTCATACAATAAAGTATTGACAGAAATAAATCTACTTAACTATTTTAAAATAGCTATCACCTTAACTTCCTTGGAAATAAAGAAGCTTATTCGTTTCCACCAAATTTAAAATAAGTTCTGACCATCATAAGTATTGTACTCTAAGTTTAGAGGTCAATCTTCAGTTTTACTGCGAATTTACCACAATCTAAAAATTGACTTATCCAGTAGATGTAGGTATGACAGTAGAAAAGATTTTATTACTGGTTGCACTCAATGTTCACTTCTGAGCACTCATTTTGAATCATGATAATTGGTGTGGAATAATAGTTCACTGTATAAAGCATTGAATTTTCAGCCATTGGGTTGAACCTTTGGATTTTTAGTTTTGACTAGTCGCGCACTATTTTTGGTTCTCACACAACATAGCTCACCAACGAGCAAATGAATCTACATGACTGCTGAGTCGTATAAATGAGAAATAATCAATTTAAACTGAATAATTATTAGTTTTTCTCTAAGTATTAACTCATTTTCTCTTTTTCCGTAATGTGAGACTATAATATCATTTTTCTGGTTTCTTGGTTTTTGAGGAATTTACTTTCTTTATTATCACAGTCACCATTAAAATAATGTAGTTTACGATCACAAATCTGTTCAGTGTGTTTACATAAAGTTATATTAGTCAGGATCGAATAAAAGTTTCTAGTTATGATTCTGATCTTTTGTCACATTCAAAATTCATTATCACATTAGATGATAAAACATTTTTACTACATGTGTACAGATATTATTTTCACAAAAAGTGGTTTTCGGATTGTCATGTAACGTCATTGGAGTTCGAAAATATATTCTCATAAATTGAGATAAACCATACTGCTGTCATTTCACCAAATCTTTAGTGTGAAAAAGAACTGGGCCAGAATAAAGCTCATCACGTTAAACTTATTTTTTATGATTAAATCATATTTTGTGGAACAAGCAATACTTCTGTGTGATTTGTCAGTCAGGATCAGATCTAATTATTTTAGTTCCATAACCCAGATGACTTTGCTGGAATGCTTAAGGTCTATAATAACAATCCCAACAAATTTTTATCAATATTTTCTCTAAACACTTCTCCAGTGGCGATTAAATTTGTAAACAGATGGTGTCCCTTATGAAATTATTATTATTTGAACACATATATTGGTACAGGAGTGCGCCAAATATATATGCGCCACACAATTTCAGTCCATTAATTGCGTGTGGGCTGCGATACTGCCCGGGTGCCCAGACCGAAGCAGGTGGTTATCTTAGGGGGCCACACCCCGAGCCTTTAACCTAAAGGTCTAATCCACAAGGCAGTGGAGCATCGTAAGGAGATGCAGTCCCATGGTAGCCGGTGACCGAAAATTGGTTCATACGTCATTTGTTCCCGCAGGATACTGGAGCCCATGTGCACCCTTGGTTTGGAATCCGGTTAAAGCGCCGGACATTCGCTTTTCGTCCTCTCATTTTCGTAAACAACATCCCCGCGACGAGAAGGCAGTGAGTAGGACTTCCCTGGCAGAGGCTGTATACGCGTGGCCGTGTGAAAGTATTTCGAGAGGGAGAGCGGACTCTCCCTACTCTCGGCCGTACCAGGGCATTTGGGGGCATATGGTTAGTATAATCGCTTGTCATTTATCATACTTTTAACTCCAATAATATACTCTTGTGTTTGTTATCAGATTTGAAATTATTTTAATATTTTATTCTAGATGGTCGAAAAAATGCACCCGTTCTCCATGGATCGATAACATCAGCTGGTTTTCTGAAAGATGCATGCAATGTAATCAAAAAGTTCATCACTTGTTTACCTGGAAGTGTAGAATTCAGTTTGATGGGATTATGTTCCGATAATAACTGACTGCAATAATGAATTTTTCTGTGTTTTTTGCACTATATCTCCGTTTCAACTACTTGTAACACATCACTTAACTGCATTTCCTGGTATACATTGCTATTTGATTTTTGTACGATTTCTATAATTAAAAAACTAATCAGTCATACATTTATTAATGTTTCTTATACAACTGTTTAATGAAATCTTTTGTGTAATTGAAATAATGAAACAAAAAACAATGAAGTATGATAGTAGAATTACGTAAATTCTATTAGTTGTAAACTTAAGGCATAAGTTTAACAAAATAAAAATAACCATAAATGGAGATGAGATACGTGTCCCTGAATTTCTAAAGCGCCCGTTTTTGTCCTATTTGTATGTATTATCAGGCATTTTCCTCTCACTTAATGTGTTAATGTTGAATGCAGGAGTATAATTTTCACTAAGAATTTCAGTCTCCAACTTTCACTTTGTTTACGTTTTTCATCAGATAATTTGGCATAGCTTCAGAGGATTGAAATGAAATCCGCGGTAAGAATTATGGCTGCATGTGCAACACATACATGAAATGAACAAGAACACACTAGATATCGTACTTTTATAGAACAAGAAGTGGATACCCGACGTCCAATGTACGTTGGTGAATACTGAATGTCTCCCTTGTGGGATTGGGAAACCCTGAATTCCAACTAGTTGTGCACATGTAATCATGAGTGGACAAATAAACTTATCACTGATTTCAATCGAACTGCTTCTGACATTGGGACAACTTTGTGGATTCGATCTTGAAATCAAAGGCTTGGGGTGATCCTAAGGAAACCACCTGCTCTGGTTTAGGCGTCCAGAGTCTATCACTTACCACAAAAATAATGATAGCGAGGGGGAAAATGAACTGCTCGTTGTTGACCCAGACACTGGTCTGCCTTTTCTTAATCGTTAGCTCAGTAAAAATCCAATAATCGAAATCCTGGTTTACTCTTCTAGTTCCAGATGCTATTCCAGCTATTGTCGTATTACTTTCCTTAACCAGTGAGATGTCTAGGCTAGTATGAATAACCTTGATCACAAAATAATCCTGGTCTTCATTGTTTCACCGATGTGGATGTATGCGTTTCTTCTAGCCCAGTCTTCAGTCCAGTAATAGAACTTAGTAAAGTAACTTATGTAAGCTAATTCATACAGTAATATAGATTAATTTTCTGATCACACATCAGCACGAGTAGGAAATTTCAATATAGGCATAAATACGCAAAAAGTAGAAGTGGTGGGAGGTAAAATATGAATGGCCAATTAACTGAAATTAATGAATGGTAAAAAAGTACAGTAATGATTTATGGATCCACTGGAAGCTTACACTAAAGAGAATATAATAATATAGTGATACATTTATCTAATAATCATACAATAAAAATATCGATAATATAAATCTGTAAATTAGTCCAATAAGTTACACTTATACCGATACTCGGCCCACCATAACAGTATTCTTTCTTGATGCAACAAAATCCTTAAAGTTTTTATTAGTTTCTTTTCAATTATTAAATCCTACCAGTTTTGAATGAGACTTTTGTAATTTATTTACTTATTCAAGTATTTGTTTACAGATTAAATTAATGTTGAATAAACTTTCACGTGATGCCTCATATAAATATAGTAGTAGTTCAATCCATTGTTCTATTTTTTGTTTGTTTTGTGTAATCATAATAATACAATACTTTAAACAGTATAAAATATTCTAATTAAAAAGTTAAGGTTGTGAGCATAACTGTACCTAGTAGTAGTAATAACTTATTATATGCATTAACATCTCATACATTTCAAACGATCATTGATTTTTATAGTATTGTAGGTTCCTTCTAACAATGATCAATCTTAATTTAAGCGTTTAATAATAAATCCAATTATTTTAAAGTATTCAGTACTATTCACGAATAAAAGAAAATATTGTTGCTGAACTAGAAAATTTTAGCAAATATTTTATTTGAGCGCTATAAGTATTATTGACAAATCAGAGTATCTACAAGTTCATAATTAAAACAAGCATAACTTGGTGGTTAATTGCAGATAATGTGAAACCCATGTACTACTTGCTTCTATTCAATAAATCATAAGAGAATTGATGTTCCATTTAGTATTCAAACTCGCATCACTAATTTTTCCTCCTATCTCCATTCATTTAATTTCTCAACATTTTGCACGTGATGCATCGTCAGTTGGACTGGAGGGAATATTACAATATGATCGATAGGACTCGATCAGCATTTGAGAATAGACATGTTATGTGGATGTTATATTTCGGAATGATTGGTCGACGTCATTTGTTAGGTTCGCAAATCAGAATTTTGACTATAATTTTTAAATGCCTCAACTTCTATTCTGTCTATGGTCTAGCATATTTATCCTTAACCAATTGATAATGCACTCTGATTGACAAAATTTACGTTGAGCTAACGTAAGCTGAACATCTATCAGTCTACCTCCTACTCCCAACCTCGAGTTCGACAAAAGTCTGCAGTCAGACCTTTAGACTATATTTCAATAAATCAACCCAGCAGCTAACTCAAGCATTCATTAATTTGTATACATGAAAAACCAAACTAGATCACAGCGTAAAATATTAAAGCACAGCTATTACACAAATATGCCGAAATTGGTTGTAAACCAAGCAAACTGTAAATTATTAGTTAATATGTCAAACGGAAAATTAAAATTAGCGAAATATAGAAGCAGTGTTCCAGTTACTTAGTAATTATAGAATAAATCTATCCATAATAATATTTTGAAAAATTTTCAACCAGTTCAGTTATAACAATATTCGTCACTACTACTACAGTAGCGGGAAGTAAAATATATGTTAATTTAGGAAATATGTACTTATATCAAGATCATGGTGCATTTAACCTAACGATTCGAAATTCGGTGGTTCTTATTTTGTAGCTCAGTCAGTTTGTGATATTGTATGAACCCTATCCAGTGTTACCAGCTCTCGATCTGACTGCGTTCTGTAGGTCACATTATATCCTGAAATGATTGAAGTTGGAAGCGTAGGCTGATGGATCCCAACTGAGTGACTGAATAGTTAAGGGCTTGCTACGAAACTTTAAGTCCATGAAATATATCCTTTGAAGTATCATGGGTGCATACTCCTGAAGAGCCTCATACAAAAACGGAACAGCCGTTTCCTTTTCCCTGGTTTTGAATTGTACTCCAGCTGATGTCACTGTGTGACGAACACCATATACAAGTTTTGAGAAACAATCTCCAAATAACAAGAATAGCCAATAAGGCGTAAACTTGTTCATTTAAAATATATATGTAACCTCAATTGTCGAAACGGAATGATTTGTTGAAGGTCACAAGCTGTCTTTGGAATGATAATTTAAGATAGACCATTCAAAAATGATAAAAGCATTGTAGTTACTCGATCTTGAATAGGAAACTTAAGCCCTAATTTATTGCGACCTCATGTAAATGACTTTTTCAGAAAAGAAATAACGTGAAAAAAGGTTAATTAGTAAAAGAAACAAATTGAATAAAATAACAAATACAATCACGTTTAAGTATAGTGATAAACGTGATTCATTTTAAATTTTTTTTATGGTGCATACGTATTGGTGTGTGTTAATGCCAGATTCGGCTCTAACTGGTTGATTCGATCTGTCATCTTATTAGTTGTATGAAATGTATTATAATTATCAGCACTTGTATTTTGCACGAACAAGAATAGTTCGACAATCTCCACAACCCACTATGTTTGTTTGTTGTTGGATAGAAAGAGTTAATTCTTTACTGTTTTAGAATTTGTTTTAATTCGTTTGTTGTAAGTTAGTGGCAACATAAAACTGAAGTATCAATTCATGGTTTTTTTTCCGGTTTTCCTTCCAAGAACTAACTGCTTTTTCTAAACATAGTTTCAATAATATTCGTTGGGAAACTATTTGGATTGTAGTACACTTATTATACAGCTTTTGTTCATTTTGTTCTGTTATAATTTTAGTTGCTCTATTGAATATATGGAAATCAAAATATAGTCTCGTTCTGGAAAGAATTTCTTATTTGATTGTTTCTCATCACCATAAATGACTATATTGAGTGTTCCATTCAAATTTCTTTTAAATAAGCAGTCTTGAGAAGTGAATTCAGTTTTGTTTTTTTAGAAGTATGAATATGATATTAGAGTAATAATTTTTGATAATTTTAATAATTGAGATCATAAGTCAATTGAAGCTAGACCACTATGGAAAACATGGAAGCACTGACGGGTTAGCTTCAATTGACTCATGATCTCAACTATTAAAATTACTGTTATATCCACAAAACCCCTTCTGAAATTTATGATAAGTTTAAAAACAGTCCTTAAAGATTATTTTTAATGATAGAAATGTATTATCTACATATGCCAGTAGAATTAGCGATATTATAACACAAACAAAAAAATTCAATTCTCTGTTGGTCATAAGTAGGTGTGTGAGTGACTGTGATTATAGGTAAGTAACCTATTTATGAACACCAAAGAAATATTTATATAAGCACAAGTAATATAATGATATAACCATGTAATTTACTATTATTTCATTTTTTGAATTAATTAATTTCAATACTTTTCATTTTAAATGATGCGAATATTTAATTAAAATGTTGAAGCGGTTTATTCGGGTAATGTGACAGTGAGTATTTGTGAAATTAACTACACGTTTAAAAGGAGTACCCCTTTCTATATTTTTATAAAATACAAATATCTAATCTATTTATTATAAATAATTTTAATGGTTAAGATCATGAGTCAATTGAAGCTAGACCACCATGGAAAACCTGGAAGCATGGTGGTCTAGCTTCAACTGACTCATGATTTTAACCATTGAAATTACTATAATATCCACAAAACCCATCTGATATTATCAATAAGTTAAGGTTCAAGAACCAAAATATCATGTGATTTAGAATTAATACCAGGTTTATGAACTATAGGCAAAATTTTTATTCAATTGATCAGTGTTTTGACTTTGTAAAACCTAATCAATTAA